GATAGATAGAAATTGAGATAGATACATAGATGATATAGAGATAGATATACAGTAGATGGTAGGTAGATAGACAGACAGACAGGCAGATATTGTAGATAGATGATATGGATAGATAGATGGATAGATAGATACTGTAGATAGATAAATGATAGATATAAATAATCATTAATAGCTATTGTGCCTAATAGTGATCAACAGCCCATCTTCAATGGATTTATTCAGTCTCCTTTTAAAACTGTCTAAATGAGTAACCATCAGCATATTTGAAGTCATTGGAACCTTTTCTACTTTTCCAAGAACATGGAACTACTCCTGCTCCCTATAAAAATGTCTTAAATTAAAATAAAACCCACATGGGAAAGGATAGCAATCTAAAGAAGTTTTTTTAAAAAAAAACAATCTGCAGCCCAGCACATTTTGGAATGCATTGGTCTTCCAAGAGGTCTAGACAATCGACTGAAAATGTATTGGGATATGAAGCTTTTTTCGCTTTCGTCCACCTGGGGACTCGACTCCAGCCCTGTCTTTTAAAATTATATTGGAAGTGTTGATAAAACATTTTTTTTCTTAAACTCCTTCTTTGTTGGGGTCGAGTATACATAGAGTTGAGTTTTAATTGGAGACTGTTAAATTGGATGGTCTGAAGAATTTATTGTTGTGATTTATGAAATGCACCCATTTTCAGAGTTTTAGCATCTTTAGTATAAAGATATCTTTCAAGATCCAGATGATTTGTATGAAATGTTTTCCTTTTTCTCGCCTTTATTGTCTTGTTCATAATAATTCCCTGAGTATCTTGAATATTAAAATGCAGAGCATGATGTTGTTTATCTCTTCCTGTCAAAATCATACCAAGTCCTTTTGTCTTTCTAGAACTAAACCAAATGTCCCCAAATTTATCTTGGCTCATAGAATACATTATTCAGATTGAGGAGTGCTATTTATTGCAATCTCTCTCTCTCTCTCTCTCTCTCTCTCTCTCCCTTCTTTGGACATCCAATTATGTTTAAAAGGAAGAACAATGCTTATTAGGCTGCATCCATGCTAAAATTTGTTGCCAGTGGTTGAAATGCTGCAGCCAAGTTTTTATACTGAAAGAACAAAGGAAAACAATATTTGTGTCTCAGTGACTTTTGCAAATAATCCTGTACAGGAGATAGCAGGAGAAGACTGCAGATATCAGCATTGTACAAATTCATCGTGACTGGTTGTTTTCTAAGTTTCTGTTGCTCCTCCAACACTTATACAACCAATTCATTCTATTAAAATGTTTAATCCTATTTTTCTACCCTGTTTCCTTGAAAATACGACCTACCCTAAAAGTAAGCCCTAGCTTGATTTTTACACGTGCCCAATATAAAACCTACCCCCCAAAATAAGCCCTAATTAAGATCCCGCCCACTCCAGAGTGCATGGGTAAAAATTAAGCTAGGGTGGGGATGGGGTTGGTGGAGCTGCCCTACTACTTACCTTTGAACAGTTATAGCCAGGCCTCACACCCCCCCGACACCTGCCTTGCCGGCCCATTTCTTCTGCAGCTGGCAAGGCCTTCCTGAAGGCCTCTGTAGTTGATAGAGAGAAAGGAGGCGGAGAGGGAGGGGGAGGGAGAAGGAGAGAGGGAGGAGGAAAGGAAAGGAGAGGGAGGAGAGGGAGAGGGTGAAGGAGAGAGGGGGAGGCAGATGGAGAGAGAGAGAGAGAGAGAGACCCATGAAAGTAATAAATTTGTTTGCAAAATTATTTTTAGCACCATTGAAAATGCAAACAGTTGCTGTCTGAGGCAGTCAGTAAATGAGGACTATTTATAGTCCAGTGCAAACATCGCAACAATCCAGTGGTCTATTCTACCGGTTTGGCCTGGTTCTGGTGTACCAGTAGCGCCAAAGGTCAGCGGAGACAAAACTGATTCTCTCTGAGGAGCTGCTGTTGGACCTACCCGCCTGCCCAGGCTTCTATGCTGACCTTTATTCCCTGCTTCTGAAGTGCAGCTGCTTTGCGCGGCACAGCCAATGGCCGTGCGCCAACTGCTGAAGCGACAGGGAGAGAGCAGGATTGCAGGAGGTGAGACGGAAAGCCTCTTTCACCTGTGCGCACGCAAAGCATGGCCACCAAGCCACGCCCACCAAACCAGTGGTCACCTCCTTTGCAACCCACCTCTGCAACAATCATACGAAGTAGGATGAGATTTGGTCCCAGAGATGAGTCCGTTATTAAGAAAAGTACGGAGAAATTGGACTGAATATCTGAGCTCACAAAACAGAAGCAGAATGAAGTGGGACAATTGTTTAAAAAGAAAAGAAAGGAGGAACACCTTTCCCTGGGCTTGAATTCATGCTAGCCAGGCACTGGGACTTATTTCTGTTTCAGGTGTCTGTGATCCCATGCCAATCAAAACGCAGAATGAGAAATAAAACCCCGCTATTTTGTAATGTTCATAGATTCAAACTCTCTCTTAAAGAAGCAGGACTGAAGTGGTTTGAGAAATTCAGGCTGTGTTTTTCTTCGATAGAAAGCAAATTGAATCACAACCAAAATAACACCCATGAAAAAGCGAAAAGCTTAAGATCTGACAACAAAGACGAATCGGGAATTTGAACAATATTTGAATAATAGACGTATTATTCAAGAGGAATAAGTCGTGGTAGCAGAGAGAAGCAAAACTTAGCAAGCCTGAGAAGATATCTTCTTGATGCAAGCCTTCTGAATGATTTCTGGGGAGAAGCCCTTTAACACAGGTACTTATCTGCAAAATCATTTAGCCATAAAAAATGCACGTAAAACCCCAGGTGAGTTATGGTATGGAAGAAAACCCAATTTGTCACACTGAAAGATTTTTGGATGCAGAGTTGATGCATATCTGTCCCTAAAGGGAAAAAAAGAATAAATTAAACCCTAACACAGTTAGAATAACTGTCATACAGAGACCAAAAAAAGGCTACAGGGCTTTGGACTTAAACGTGAAATTAAAGACACACAAGTAAGGTTGCCTGTTTTAATGAAAAAGAAAGAATAACTGAAGATAATGGAGCTGCAATATCTAGGAGGTAGTAGAAACCATCTGAGTTTTACCAAGTTTAAAATCAAAACATTCTCAAAGATCCATCTCATCCTGGGCAGGCTTTTTTTTTAATTATTACCATCTGGCAGATGGTACAGGACAATAAAAACAAGGACAAATAGGTTGAAAAACAGCTTCTATCCCAGGGCAGTAACTCTATTGAATTCTACTGTATAAAGGTACATCTGTGCTAGTCGTTTCCAGCTCTAAGGAATGGTGCTCATCTCCGTTACAAAGTGGCTCAGCCAGCGCTGTCCGAAGACGTCGCCGTGATCATATGGCAGGCATGACTAAATGCCGAAGGCTCACGGAACACTGTTCCCTTCCCACCAAAGGGGTCCCTGTTTTTCTACTTGCATTTTTATGTGCTTTCAAACTGCTAGGTTGGCAGAAGCTGGGACAAGTAATGGGAGCTCACTCTGTTACGTGTCGCTAAGGATTCGAACGGCTGAACGG